TTCTCGATAAATTTTTTTTAAGAAAAAAAACATAGTTCCCCTTTTTTGGGCCCCCGTGTTTTTGATTTTCTGAAAACCGATAGTTCTGTTTTATATACGACAATAGTGTTACATGAATTGAAAATACAATAATTAACGAGAATATTTTTTATTTTAAAGGTACCTTGCTTATAAATTTTGCTACTGCACGATCAAATTCATCGAGGCATCGCACAAAAAACGCACACCAGTTGTGTACATAATTGTTTCTTTTAAAAACAACATCACGTATGCTAAAAAATTGTGTGGCTATTTTATCGAAACAATATATTCCCGTTAGTTTTCAATACCTACGGACATTGTATTATTTTTATAAGCGATTCTTATAGTATTCATTGATCGAATTAACACGTATAACACGATGGTGTTTCTTTATTTTATTGTGCTAATCGTTTTAAGATCAACTCCGGGTACGTAATATATTCCATTTGCATCTACATAAATAATTGCCTTCTTATAATCGAAGCATATAATATCTTAAGCGATATATTCTAAACCCGATTATTGTAATTATCGTGATCTACGGTATTTGCTATTTTCTCACTAAAAAATGGCCTAGTATGATTTACTTATCCTTTCACAAAACCTCCTTGCTGACTATATATAATGTCTAAGTTAAGCGCTCAAAAGCTCTGGTGGACGTAAATTTGATATTTTTAACAAGTTTAACGGAAGGTTAGTTTGTAGTCTCTGTCCTTAATTTTATATTAATAATTATTGCTAAAAATGGTAAACGATTTCACAAATATTATTAAACCGTACTGAAAAACACACAATTAAGTTATTGTTATTTTTTTTATTTGAAAAACTAAAAAAAAAAATTTAAAAACTAATGAAAAATTGTTCAATTATTTTACAATCGTAAGAATTTACAGCACTAGTACAATACAATTATTATTATTATTTCATTAAAAATATCAAAATTTACCATTAAAAAATAAATGTTTAATCAAACCGCTGGACGCTAATTTATACTGTAAATAAACAATAGAAATTCATTTGTAAAATTAATTTTATATTTTAGCATACTGTGGTCCTACCGAGAATCCATCGTCTTCGGCAAATCCGGCCGGTGACGAGCAAATTGATCACACTCACTTCTTGACCGACGAATGTCGTCGTTTTGATAGCAATCAGTTTTTAAATAAAGAGTATGTATAATGACATTTTTAAAGATTCCATTAGATGTAAAGGACTGGTGGTTTTAATTTTTAAGAACATTAAATTTTATTTAGTAATAACCACTTAACCCGTGCAATAACCTGTACAATACATGTGTAATAACAATGTTGTAACAGTGTTGCCTACTGTAACATGCCCTTAAAAAAAAAAAAGTTGAACTAGTAAATAAAAATAATTTCCCAAAACAAAACCTCCCACCCCTATCACTCACCCCTATCTCCCACCCCTTTCTCTATCCCACTATCTCCTACCCCTATCTTCCAACCTAACCCCATCCCATTTCCATTCCCACCCTCAACCCCAACTCCGTGTGGTAACGCTTTTTTGATAATACTAAGTAAATAACACTTTTTTCGGTTATGTGCCAGAGTTAAAACATGAAAATGTCAAAAAATATTAGGGACAAAACAAGATAAAAATAAATAATACAGATGTACAAATGATGAACAATTAACATAAATATATCTTAAATTTTACTATTTCCTACTATATCTGTTTACTGCCTTATGCTGTTTAAGAACTATGGGAGAGTTTCAATAATTAGTTTTCTTACTGCAATTTATTCTCATCTTAAATCTTCATTATATTTCAATGTAAATAATAATTTGTTTTCTATTTCTCCTACACCATTTTTAGTTTTAAGCTTTATATCATAAAACCTTCTAAACATGCACTTTTTAAAAATCATTAGAAGTTTCTTTTATAATTTTGATTAACTAGCTTTAATCTACAGCTAGAATCAAGAATTTGGCTTTTTTCAATTTTTTTGGATCCAGACCTATTATTCTTCTTAATTACAGGGTTAAATGAATGAACCTATTCCGTTGGAGTCGTTACCTTTTATAATACTATAGATTTACATATATTGTTTAGTTATTTTATAAGTAGATTATATAAAGAAGAAGGTTCTTTTCTTGGAGCGTCTATTATATGTTGGACACTGTAATCAACGTGTATATGACATTATATAGGAAGGCTGCCTGGGGCTTCAACTATATCACTAACACAATTAATTAATCTAAGTTTATTTTAACTATCACACGTTAGTAGAGCTAAAATTATAGTACAGTCACATTCAACTATAGAAAAATCATAATCTGATAACAACATTTAAGTTTACAATTATCAATAGAAGGAATTACTTTAGTATGTATAGACATAACTTTCGTCACTAATTTTTTATTAATGATAGATTTATCAGTGTCCAGCTGACCCCCCGTAACATTGCCGTTAATAGATTAATCAACTTATTTCATAACCATGATGATTCATATAGATTTTGACTTACAAACGTTGGGTTTATATTAAGATACTCTAGATAAACTAAAATCTCGATTTTTCTATGGATTGGTTGCTTTCTGCTTAATGCCATTCAATTTCTAACATTATATCCTTAAAGCAGGATATTTTTATTTATGTTGTAATGAAAGCGTGTAAGATTATTATTATAAATAATTTTATTGAAGTAACAGCTTAAAACTATTTCTACAATTAATAGGAACTTGCTATGTACAAATATGAATATTAACATCAACATCAGTTATACTTAATTAGCTATCTCTGAAACACTCCCTTAAATATGAATACAAAATGTATATAATTTATCAAAACGTAGTATTAAATATATAAAGAACACAAGCAGCTTATAACTAAATTTATTTTTGGAATTTCTCTGAATTTTTTTTAAAGATTTAATGTTATACATAAATTATTATTAATTTGTATTATTTATTAGTATATTACTTATATATTTTGATATTTATTTTAGGTTTTCGGATGTTGTTTTAGTTGTAGATAAAAAAAAATTCCCCGCCCATCGTGCTGTGTTAGCCTCACGCAGTGATTATTTCAGGTAATAATATTTTTAAGCATATTATTCTCTTTTTTTATTGATTGGTAAATTGTTCTAATAGTAAATTTTTTTTTACTAGTTTTTAGAAAAGCATATTTTTTTATTTTTACGGTTAGGTTAGGCTCACTAATTTCCTAATCAACCAACCTAGATGTTTTTGAAAAACAGCAACATCGATTGCCTTAAGATTTTTTAATGTTTTGTAATCTATAATTGTTAGTTTACTTGCTTGATATAAATGGATACTATGAACTATTACCACTTATACATATTTATGATAATTGTTTTCTTTTCTTCGTAGTTGACGGATTTTAGAACCAAACTGAAAAACATATGCCATTCCATTTCTCTCTATCTTATGCAAGGAATTGCTAATCAGCATCCGGTTCAACCCGCTTCACATATTTTGACACCTGGTCTTCCTACCTCAACCTTGGTCTACCAAGTGGTCTTAAGTCTTCTGGAGAGCCACATAGTACTCTGTGTATAAGGTCGCTTTCTTTCCGCCATGCCTGGCCAGCCCAAACGAGCCGCCTCTTTGTTATGTCGTCGACTATTTTTGGTTTCTGGTATAGCTCCCTGATCTCCACATAATGTCTAGTTCTCCATTCTCCTGTAAATTGCCGTTTTCCAATCTTCCGGAATCGCCTCCTTTTCCCAAATTTCCTTTACCAACAAATATATGTACTCAGTTAGTTCATTTCCCATGTTCTTTAACAGTTCCTCGGCAATTCCATCTTCTCCGGGTGCTTTGTGGTTCTTAAAAAACCTTATTTGCAATAAAAACTCTTCTTTTGTTAGGGCTTGGCATGTTGTTAGGTTTCCCTGGGAATCATCAAATGGGAATGGATCCTCAGGTTCTGGACAATTTAAGAGCTCGCCAAAGTATCTAACCCACTTATCTGATAGTTACCGTGTCACCACCGGCCAGTGTGAGCTGTCAGTCAAGGTGTCCAGGTCAGCGTACTAATTTTTGTCGATTATTTTATTGTAAATAATTACTACCATCGTTATTATTATACCTTGTTGATATTACATACTAACCCTAGTTTTAAGTATATCGATGTTTTATATTGAACTTTTGGCAATAGTAGTTGAGTTTTATAGAGTCGACTTAATTAGTTAATTTTTTTTTGTTCCTTTCTCCCCTTTTGTTTCTCGCTAAACCATTTACTCCTATCCGGCCTAGACGGGTTTTCTCCCGGCAAAAGAGTTATCTGTCGGGCATACGCGTCGCACATATTCTTTGCGATCGTTCTCCTCTGTATGGCTTCTTCGCAGATTTTATTGAACCACGGTTTCTTTAATCGATGTTCTCTACGTATCGTCTCTTCAGCTGCATCTTGAATTACACTCTTCATTTATGACAACATTAATATATTTTTGCAAAACAAGTAAACAAGTGATATAGAAATTATGCAAACTGTTTGTATGACTTGTTACATAGCTGTTCATTATAATCTAACATAATCAAACAAAACCAAAGTAAACTGAGTAGCCCATACAATATGCCTTACTGGTTGTAGCACATACAATGCAGTTTTTTATGCTAATATTGGATACCTTTTTTAGAGGATTACTGTATGGTGGACTTGAAGAAACTCATAAAAAGGAGGTGCCAATAAAAGAAGGATCACCAAAATCAATTAAAGAACTTCTTAAATATATTTATTTCGGTAAAATGAATTTAAGGGTTCTGGAGGTAACTTGTAATGTATATTTTTAGAATGTAAATATATTTTATAGAAAAGGATATGTCGAATATACATATTATGTATTTTTTTTTTTCATTAGAGTAACGTCATTTTGGAATTATTAATTCTCTCGAATCTATGGAATTTTACAAACTTACACATTTCACTGTCTGAGTACTTGTGTAATAACATCAATGTAGACAGTGCGAGTGCATTGTTTGTTGTGGCACTTTTTTATCAACTCAAAGAACTCGAAGTCACATCAGTCAATTTTATTGACATACACACTTTGGACGTACTGCAATCTAAAGATTCTCGCTCTTTGTCGGCCGTAATTATATTTTATAGTAAAAAACCTGTATTGCTCTTGTTAGCTAACAAGTTGTGACAGTAATATTATTTTTAGGAAGCATTAATTCTAATTCTCAATCGTGACACGGCGTATGCTAACGAATTGGATATATTCCGTGCCGTTTGTCGGTGGATCAAAAAGAACCAAGACCACCTAGTTCCTGGAGATAAAACCAACATTTTATCTGCCGTCAGATATAAGCTTATGAATAATGAAGAATTATCTGAAGTTAGGGGATCAGAGCTGGTTCGTTCGGATAGAAATATTTTAGATGTCATAAAAGAGTCCCTCACACAAACAATAAATGATCGAGGACGATTAGGTATGATCAATGTTAATATAATATGTTATTTAGACTATGTTAGTATCAGCTACTTTATTCTTTAGAACCAAATGTGAATTTCGCTCAAGAAGATCCGATTGAGGTTTCTCAAATTGACGGCGGTACCATGATCATGTTGCATCATCCATCGAATATAAACTATATCGAAATGAATTTATGTGACGTAGATTCATGGTGTGTTTTTATTTATCAATATTTCTAATCAAGTATAATTTTATTTGAATACCAATTAGGTTAACTTTTATTTTTTTACGATTTATTTTAATAGTCGTTATTCAGTTTATTCATAAATAGAAAAATTTGTTTATAAGCCGAACAATCAGTCATGACTTATAATAATTTCTTTAATCTATTTTGCACAACAATTTTTTTAATTTATTATTTGCTTTTTAGACATCTTTATTGATAAAAAATTACACAGGTATTCATTTGATCGAATTCTTGTTATTTTAGCACTTACTCGTATTACATTGATGTATCAGTGGATAGGCTCGATTGGTTGCGTGTAATTAATCATTCAAATTATGATTGTCGGTCAATTCAACGTTTGTGGATTAACCGAATATATGTTCGGTACATCCGTATTGTTGGAACCAAAAATACTAGTAATAAGACTTTTAACTTTTTAAAAGTCATGTACAATACGGACAAAATGCACTTGGTGGAAATCAAAAACGGATTAGTTGGTAAGGACAACACGAAAGTAACTCGTTTTTTGAATAATATAAAAAAAATTTGTTTATCTAATTAACTCGTTTTAACCTACTAGCTCCAAGGTTTAATGTTGCTTTATCGTCTATGAATGCTACTTTAATCAAAGGATATACGGAAACTTTGGTTAGAGGAAGGAGGACTCCGTCACGATGGATAACAAGTAACATTTTGAGTGGTGACTATGAAAACTGCAGTAAATTACGCGCATATACATATCATGGCATAAACTCGGGATGTATAGAGGTTCAACTTGCCCAACCGTATGTGCTAAGTTCAATGAGGTAATCATTTGCATAACAATTAACTTTTTCATTTGATTTTATTATATAATTATTATATTATTTATGCCTTAAATTATATCAAGGTTACATTAGTTTTTTCATTATTTATATAGGATGCTGCTTAGAGACTGCGATAGCCGAACCTTCTACGGTTACACTGTTGAAGTTTCAGTCAATAATGTAGAATGGGACGTGATTGTAAATAAATCTAATAAATCGGCACGATCGTGGCAGTTGTTGCAATTTGATCAAAGGCCGGTAGTGTACATACGTATTACTGGCGTTCGCTCTTTAAATGAAGATGAAGTAAAATAGTTAATTTAAGAGTGGTTTCTAAATATTTTTTAAAACCTTTTTTTTTGTAGACTTTTAATATTGTATATTTGGAGGCACCCGCTCAAGTTTCGCTAGATTGCAAAATCACAAAACGGTGGCAGTCGATGTTGCGACTTTTAAATCGGAAATAGCGCCACCATTCGCCCGGAGGCCAACTGATAAATGGAACTATTGGGGTGTTTTACATATTATTATTACAGGTTACTGTCAATTTTATTGCTTAATAAATATGTATATTCAATTTAATTATTACTGTTATTAGTTACTACTGCACAAAAAAATTTATATAAATTAAATAATAAACAAGATATTCTATGTTGTAAGGTTGTCAATAGTTAAGTTGTCTACAGTTGGATGATTTAAACATGATGTAATACTTATGTACTCAATTTAAATAAAAATAAATAATAATATATATATATTCGAATTCATGTTTTTTATTCACTGAACAATTTTTTATAGTAATAACTTTTTTGACACATTTATTTATAAAAAAAAAACCGACGATTTGTCAGGTAAATCCGAATTGTTGGCACCCAAAATACTAGTCATAAGAATTTTAACGATTTTAAAGTACGGACAAAATGTAATTGGTGGAAATCAAAAACGGATTAGTGTTTAAGGACAACCCGTACTTATTCCTTAAATAATATTAAAAAAACATATTTGTCTACTGAACTAACTTTAATTCAATTAGCTCCAAAGTACAATGTTGCTTTGACATCTTTGGATGCAATTAAAGTCGAAAGAGAATCAAATAGTATACTGGTTAAACTCCCTTAACCGTATGAGTTTAGTTCCATGAGGTAATCATTTACATAACATTTCACTTTTACTTTGGTTTTAATTATTTAATTATATTATTTGCGCCTGAAATAAAACTTAATATTATTAAAAAAAAAAGTTTTGTTACCTCTGTCAATATGATCAGGATTTTACTAGTGTTATAATTATTTATAGGATGCTGCTTAATCATGGCTATAGCCGAACCTGTGGGAATACTTTACAAGTTTCGGTCAATGATGAAGATTGGGAAATAATTGTAGATACATTGATAAAGTCGGCACGATCGGGCCAGCTTTTGGAATTTGAACGCAGGCTGATAGTGTATAAACTTTTAACTGGCGTTCAAACATCAAATATGACGGAGTATAAAAATTCATCTAAGAGGTTTTCTTTTATTTCTTAAGAACTTTTTTTTGTTTAGATTTTGAATTGTGTATATTTGGGTACATCTATTTCACTAGATTCCGACGTCCAATCAAAACGGTGGCCTTTAATATTACGCCTTTTCGGTCTTTAATAACGCCGCCGTTTGCATGAAAGTCGACTTCTAAATGGAACTAATTGGGTTTTTTACATATCATTATAAGTAATTTTCATTTTTATCTAATATGTATAGATCAATGAAATTCCCTTTTCTTACTGTCCGAACTTTTTATTTGACTAGTTGACGTTAATCCTAGCTTAATAGATATAAAATACCTTAATAGGTATATATTTATATAAATAGGTAGATATAAGTATAACAATAATAAATTACTTAATTTTAACTCAATATCAATTTAGATAAAGACGTCCAATTAAATTTGTCATTGCTTTTTTTATGTTGGAGGGGCATAGGAATTGATACTAAATAATGTCTATACTTATAAATAAATTATAAAATCTAAATTTCTAATAAAGCTTACATATATGACAAATTAAATAATGCTGTAACATAAATGTACTCAAAAAAATTTAATAATTATTAAGTTATAGTAGTTTGAATGAATTTAAATTAAGTTTTATATAAATTATAAGTTACTTAAACTACTACCCCATTAAACTAAGCATATACGATTGTGTGCGTTAAATCAGTATACCACTGACCAGAGCCGTTGTGATGAATACCTGTAGTAGTAAAGATAATAGTTGGCTTTCAATAGAGCATTCTTGCTTTTTAAAATCACAAAGTATTTATTATTTCATAATTACTATATAACTGGCGGCACTTATATAAGGCAGGCACTTGTATAAGGAAACAATAAACATTCTTTGAATAGCAAGTGGTAAATTGTTTTAAATGCACCTATAGCATGACCGATGAAAAAGAAGAAAACGAGTACATATAAATAATTATTAATGTAAAGTATTATATGTTTACAACAATAGTATTTTAGCTTAATTTTACATTTTCACCTAGCGAACACGACTTATGCAGACATTTCTTTTCTCGATAAATTTTTTTTAAGAAAAAAAACATAGTTCCCCATTTTTGGGCCCCCATGTTTTTGATTTTCTGAAAACCGATAGTCCTGTTTTATACACGACAATAGTGTTACATGAATTGAAAATACAATAATTAACGAGAATATTTTTTATTTTACAGGTACTTTGCTTATAAATTTTGCTACTGCACGATCAAATTTATCGAGGCCTCGCACAAAAAACACACACCAGTTGTGTACATAATTGTTTCTTTTAAAAACATCATCGCGTATGCTAAAAAATTGTGCGCTATTTTATTAAAACAATATATTCCCGTTAGTTTTCAATACCTACGGACATTGTATTATTTTTATAAGCGATTCTTATAGTATTCATTGATCAAGTTAACACGTATAACACGATGGTGTTTATTTATTTTATTGTGCTAATCGTTTTAAGGTCAACTCCGGGTACGTAATATATTCCATTTGCATCTACATAAATAATTGCCTTTTTATAATCGAAACATATAATCTTAAGCGATATATTCCGAACCCGATTATGGTAATTATCGTAATCTACGGTATTTGCTATTTTCTCACTAAAGGATGGCCTAGTAAGATTTACTTATCCTTTCACAAAACCTCCATGCTGACTAGTATAATGTCTAAGTTAAGCGCTTAAAAGCTCTGGTGGAGCTAATTTGATATTTTTAACAATTTTAACGGAAGGTTAGTTCGTAGTAGGTGCCCTTAATTTTATATTAATTGCTAAAAATGGTAAACGATTTCACAATTATTATTAAACCGTACTGCAAGTACGCAATTAAATTATTGTTATTTTTTCATTTAAAACCGAAAAACAATATTTAAAAATAAATGAAAAATTGTTGAATTATTTTACAATAAAAAAACTTTACTGCACTAGTGCTATATAATTATTATTATTATCTCATTAAAAATATCAAAATTTACCATTTTAAAAATAAATATTAAATCAATTGGCTGGACGCTATCTCTTACTGTAAATAAACAATACAAATTCGTTTGTAAAAATTAATTTTATTTTTTAGCATTGTCTGATCCTACCGAGAATCCATCGTCTTCGGCCAATCCGGCCGGTTACGAGCAAATCGATCACACTCACTTCTTATCCAACGACATTAGCAATCTGTATTTAAATAAAAAGTATGTATTATGACATTTTATAAGTTTCTATTAGATGTAAAGGACTGGTGGTTTTTAATTATTAAGAGTATTACATTTTATTTAGTATTAAACACTTAACCTGTGTAATGACCGGTACAAGTATGTATAATAACAGTGTTGCCTAATATAACATGCCCTTAAAAAAAAAAATGAACTAGTAAATAAAAATAATTCTTATAAACAAAACAAACTTATTATAAAATATAAAATTATTGAAATAAATAATACAGACATACAAATGATGAACAATTAACATAATACATCTTAAATTTTACTATTTCCTACCATGTCTATTTACTGGCTCATGCTGTTTAAGAACTATGGGAGATTTTGAATAATTAATTTTCTTACTGCAATTTATTCTTATTTAAAGTCTTTATTATAATATAATATGTTTTCTATTTTTCCTATAACATTGTTTATTAATGATAGATTCATTTTTTTTATTGTTTTGAAAAATTATATTTTGATGCTATGTTTAGTGATCACCTGGGCATCAGTGTCCAGCTAACCCCCCATAACAGTACCAATAATAGTAAATCAAGTTATTTTATAACCACGACGAATCTTACAGATTTTGACTTACAAATTTTAGCGTTTATATTAAGCTACACTAGTTAAACTAAAATCTCGATATTAGCTTCGAATTATGACTATTAATAATTAACACCATTAATTATGCTTAAACGGCTATTGCTGAAACACTACCTTCAATCAATAGAACAAATGCAAATACTTTATCAGAATGTAATTTAAATATATAAAAAAGCAAAAGCAGTGTATGAATAACATTTTTTTTGCAATTTTTTTGTATTATTTTTAAAGATTTAATATTATACATTAATTATTATTAATTTGTAAATTTTAATATTTATTTTAGGTTTTCGGATGTTGTTTTAGTTGTAGATGATAAACGATTCCACGCCCATCGTGCTGTGTTAGCCTCACGCAGTGATTATTTCAGGTAATAATATCTTATCTTTAATCATATTGTTCTCTTTTTTAACTGATTGTCAATTGTTCTAACAGTAATTTTTTTTTACTTTTTTAGCATTTTTTAGAAAAGCATATTTTTTACCTTTTATGGTTAGGTTAGGCACCCTAATTTCCTAATTAACCACCTAAATGTTTTTGAAAAAACAGAAACATCGATTGCCTTAACATTTTTTACTGTATTGTCATCTATAATTGTTAGTTTACTCGCTTGATATAAATTGATACTATGAACCATTACCACTTATACATAATTATGACAATATTAATATATTTTTGTAAAACAAGTAAACAAGTAAAATAGTAATTATGCAAACTGATTGTATGACTTATTATATAGCTGTTCATTATAACCTAACATACTCAAACTAAACAAAAGTAAATTGTGTAGCCCAAACAATGTGCCTTACAGGTTGTAGCACATACAATGCATTTTTTTACGCTTATATTGAATACATTCTTTAGTGCATTACTGTATAACGGTCATACAGAAACTTATAATAAGGATGTGACCATAAAGGAAGGATCACCAACATCATTTAAAGTGCTTCTTGAATATATTTATTTCGGTCGAATAAACTTAAGCATTCTAAAAGTAACTTATAATTTATTAAATAAGAAAATAAATATATATTACAGAAAAGGATTTGTTAAATACACATAATACTATGTGTTTTTTCATTTATTAGAGTAAAGTAATTTTGGAATTATTAATTCTTTCGAATGTATGGCGTTTCGAAAACTTACAATTTTC